TCCGGCTGATGTCGTTCACGTTCTGTATGTCCTTAACGTCTGGATGATGGTGTAGATGTTGGGGTGGGCATGCAGTACCTTCTTCAGTTTTCCGTGCCAAGCTTCCAGATGGTTAGTAGTCCGGGGTCCCTCGGTTGAGAAGTGGTTCCAGGTGGTACGATCTCCCTCTATCCATTGTGTGCAGCTACCTCAAAATCGACGAAGGCTGTAGTGGGTCGGAATGGAATGTCGAAGTGTGCCATGTGATCCTGGAGAAGGGTGAAGAAACGGCTGTGGATTGCCTGGCTCTTTACGGGAAGTAATGCGTATACGACTGGTGTCATGATGCCTTAATTCTGTACATGTACGCTGTAAATCTGATGAAACATTGTTGGACAGTTGTAGAAAGTTCCGTCACAGAAGAAGGAGTCAGATGCTGCAAGTTCGGCCAGGTTCTCCGACGAAGCGAATGCGATCATCCTTTTGTTCTGTTCACCGTCGTCAAAGAGGAGAAATGGTTCGCCTGTAGATGCTTCTGTCCATCTTCCATCCAAGGTGATGTCGGCCAAAGTCTTTGGTAGTGGAGGAGTCTGCTTGCGGCGAGCACGGTAAAGAGACGACTTCGCTGTGTAGAATGTTGGTAGTCGCTGGACCACGGCCTTGGAAGTGTCATCCCAGTCGTTGTCTCGGAGTCGATTGAGCTCTTCCTCAAAGATGGACGGAATAGGCTGGACCGATTATACGCATTTGTTGGTGATCTGGTTCATGATCTGTTTGGCTACAACACTGGCTGGGTCTGAGGCGTGGGTGTGTGGATTTCTTCCGAAGTTAGCTGGTATGTTGTCGATTGCCGAGAGTGATGCTGAGCAGCCTGAGGTCGAACATCTCCAGAATGTCCTGCTGCCGTTCTTTCGAATCTGTTTGAAGATGAATCCATTATGTGAAAGGTTCTGTCCGCCTCTTCTGTTGGTGATGAACTTAACGTTGATCTGAGCATTAGCCATACTGTCCTTGTATCAAACAACAAAGATAATAATATCACTAAAATTAAACACAATTTACATAAAAACTGAGAGAAAATACAAGATTAACTAATATATGACAAAAGTTACAATTTACACAAAAACTGAGAGAAAATACTAGATTAACTAATATTTGACAAAAGTTACAATTTACACAAAAACTGAGAGAAAATACAAGATTAACTAATATATATATGACAAAAGTTATGATTTGACAATATATATCTGTGACAAAAGTACAGTAATAAATCAAGCAATGATTGAGATATTGATCTTTCAAAGTGCAGATTGAAATATGATAATTTCCCAAAATGAACTTGGCTTTTATACATTTCCCATTGAATAGCTTGGGATTTAAACAGATTTAACACAGATATTTGATTCCTTTATTTTACAGTTATTAACAGTTTTCATTTTTTTGAACAGTTATCAGAATCAGAACTTAATCATCTGATTTACCTGTTTTCTAAATAGTTATCAGAATTTACCTGTGCAAGTTAACTGTACTACAATTCTAAAACAGCTTATAATCCACTATCATCACAGTTGACCTCCTATGTAAACATGTTGTCATATACAGAGTTGGTGTTCGGGAAGACCCCAAGTAGACAATGATGAAAAGACTAAAAAGGATATTGCAGATAGCTTCGAAATTCCAACAACAATACTGGGTACAATTAAAAAAAAGAAATATCTACCTGTTGTATATAAGGCAAACACTAAAGCCTGGATGACATCTAACATTTTTACGGATTGGATGAAAACTCTGGATCGCCCGTAACAAGATCTCAGACACTAACAAAAAGCAATCTGTCATTTGTCATTCTTTCAAGTAACTATTCGAGTTTTTCGGAAGCAATGTGAATTGCTGTTTATGTGGACATACTATACATGTCTATATATAATCATGAAATAAGGCTCCTTTATTTCTATAGCATGTTCAATTCCTATAACGAATAATGCGTGACTGTTTGCCAAAATTCGTTGTATGTGTATAACGAACTAAATTTCTTGGTCCCTTGAGGTTCGTCATAATTGTGTTTTACTGTATATATATTAATGTGGCCAAGGTCAAATCAATTACTTATAGAAATTAGATCTCTGTGCTTAATACCCCGGTATTTCAATTAATATTATGAACGATAAAGACTGAAATCATTTCACTGATGAAAACAATAACCATTTTACCGATTTGAAAATATTCAGCATCTGCAACATACCTTCAGAAGACCAATGCGAAAAGCTTAATTGATTTTAAATATATATTACTGCTTGTGAATTGTAATGTAGCTGTTCACAGTTTGTTACTAATATATCGTATAGAACAACTCAGTGTCACTCTGCCCTGAAATCGACAATAAGTGTTTGGACTATATACAGATTTTACACCATGAACTTTTGTTTTTTTTTCATTTTGTTTTGTGTCTTTATATCTTTCTTTGTTTTATTATTATTATCGTCATTGTATTTTGTTTTGTTTTATATTAATGAAAATGTAATTCTTTATTGGGAGGAATTTAAGCGAACCTAACCCTGACGAATGTCAACCATTAATTATATGTAATAGTTGTCGGAAACTGAAGTTTTCATTATTGTAGCAAAATCTGATAAAATCTCAACTTTTTATAATTCCTTTGATTTTTTCGCACTTCGGTAAGTCTAAGCCCAATGAACTGTTCTTCAAAGATGGCTATCAGCGGTGTCACCTGTGTGAGATCAGACACGGTTGAGGTATCAATTTGTGTCTTTTATCCTGGGGAGTGCGGGTCAAATTAATCTCTTCACAAATGGATTCTGCTTGTCCCTTCTTTTCGGAAATTGATGTTTGCCACCACATTTCCCATACAAAATTCAATGCATAAATATTTACCTGAATATGTTACTTACCTTGGTATAGCTATATACTAATGTTTACAAAATAAACATGGCCTTTATTTATTGTAATTATTACAATAACACGAGATCTTTTTGTTTGATATTTATTTCGTTTTAAAAGTAGGACAATTTTTTTTTCTTTTGATTATGAAATTTGAACATTCCTTTTAAGAAAAAGTGACAATCATCTTTAACTGTCAACACAAAGATGATCTATCAGTCATTTTTGTCCTATTCGTCCCAAAATTATAAAAAGGAACAATTAGGAACCAAAGGGGAATGTTAAATCTGAGAAAGAAGTTTATTCTGATCAGTCCTAAAGCCAATGAAGCACAACTAGGGATCCATATAAAAAGTATTTATAAAATCTCAGAAAAAAAATCATCCAGTTCTTCTGAAGAAATAACAATAACAATCTTTGATACTCAGAATCCAAGATGGCTGCCTGTCAGTCAAAAACGTGGCAATGCAAGACTAAGGACCAAGAGAGACCCTAGATATAAAATCTGAAAATGATTTATTGGGTGATTCTCACGAAATAGGGATAGCAAGAATCGTTTACCGACAGACGGACGACAACTCACTCTCCACAAGGAAAAGATGTAACGAAATTGATTCACTAAATGACGATAGTTCGTCAAGTTTTTTTAATAATGTTCGACTACTATTACCAGATATGTATATCGTACATCAAGAAGGAAAAAATGTGACCCACTCTTATTCTCAGTAACGTATATGATACATGGTATTTAAATACATGTACTATTTCATACTACAATAAAATATCTGTATGTCCTTGCTGTCAGTGACTTTCTTATAGATCTTGATGAATTTACCTTATAGCCTAAACTCAGCGTCAGCCATTTCATGGATGTATAACAGTACACACGGACAAATTTGAAAAAGAAATACGCTGAAGTTGAAAATGAGTTAAGCTACATTATACAGGATTCCAAATAAAAAAGGTAGAGTATTAAGTAAAAATTGCACGCGAACTCCCTAGTGCGGTCACCGCCCCGTGGCCAGGGGTCGAATCTCTTATCAGACTCTTAACATACCTATTGTACAAGCTTTATGTTACGAGACAATTAGATACGGAATATTAATGTGGTTGTCAGTCTCCGTGTTTGTATATATTGCTTATCTGATTAAACTTGATGTCGTTGGTGTGATCAAGATGCTGGTATCCACTTTAAAATGTAACTCGGTAACAAATGATTGTTTACTAGGCGTATATCTCGGTCGTTGCTTTAATGTGTCATATGATCCCTAAGAATGAGATTTAATCTCCAAATGAAAACCGGGAAGAAGGATAGCTTGGTCAATAAGACTGCGTGATATATAAAACAAAATAATAGCAAAGGAAAGAATACCCCGATGACTGTAATTACACGACTAGGTTTTCAGTCAGCCAAAAAAAATGTTTTACATATCTATCGATCCAACACTTGTAACCATTTTTATAAAAAAAAAAGTATCAACTCAGAATCACTGGGAATAATAAACAGATGCGCTTCAGATCGAATCTCTTGAAACCCTTCATTGCGAGTTTTTTTTCTGTCAGCTTCCAACAATCATGTTGCTCTCGGGAAATGGAAAATTAACAACAGCGAAAGAACACATATCATGCAGCTTACTGATTGAAGCTAGAAAGCTGTACCTCATAGTTTCGTAGTCGTAAACGTTTGGGGTGAAAGATTATTGTATAAGGGACTGTCGTATCGTTAACTTGTGAGTATGTAAGGTGGACATTATCCTTGTTTTAAAGACATCATCACTATACGAAGACACGCCGCACTTTCCTCTCGGAAATACACTTATTTTGCGATTTCTTTTCATGGTTTTTTTTTTTTGTTTTTTTTTTCTTGTTTATTTTCGCAAACTATCCTCCGTTATAGTTCCAGACTGTGTCCTCCGGTTAGCTCAGTCTTGAGGTCGATTTAATTCACAAATTGTAGATAGGTTTTAAATCACCACACTCTCCTTATTTAAAACGTTTTGATGACAATCCGAAACTTCTGTCAGGAAAAACACACATAGGAACAGTAAGTATAATAAGATGGCCATTCAAAGGGTCAATGTCCGTACCACACGTCTGATGTTCGTAAATGTACTCTGAACGCTTTAATGGCGTTTCTCAAAAGAGAACGTGACAGGTTTGTCTAGAGTTTGAATTATTTGAAATTTCAAACCCAAATCCCGAGTTGAAGTGGTTACTTTGTACGTCTTCAGTAGCTTAGCCATCATCACGTACATATCTTGTTCAGCTATGCGTCTACCTGTAAAACAACAATAGAAACATTAACGATGTATAAAATTTTCTTGTCTACGATAGAAATATTTATTAGGTGTATTCACTGGAGACAACTGTACATACATCATTGCCTTTTACTGAAGACAACTGTACATACTTTATTGTATTTTCACTGAAGACAACTGTACATACTTTATTGTATTTTCACTGAAGACAACTGTACATACATCATTGTCTTTTACTGATACAATTGTACATACTTCATTGTATTTTCACTGAAGACAACTGTACATACTTTATTGTATTTTCACTGAAGACAACTGTACATACTTCATTGTATTTTCACTGAAGACAACTGTACATACTTTATTGTATTTTCACTGAAGACAACTGTACATTCTTTATTGTATTTTCACTGAAGACAACTGTACATACTTTATTGTATTTTCACTGAAGACAACTGTACATACTTTATTGTATTTTCACTGAAGACAACTGTACATACTTCATTGTGATTTCACTGAAGAAAACTGTACATTCTTTACCTGGCACAAGTGTGATGAAGTCTTAAAATCTTTAGCAGTTTCAAAGATTTCATGTCGCTATAAGGTCAGGAGTTTCGAAACTCGACAGATTTTAGTTACATTTATTAGGTTAATTCACATGATTCCCGACGAGAAAACAAATACTTGACATCATAGAAGTCTTAAACCTGAACACATTAAGTTTTATTAGGTTGTACTTTATTTCGACATCTTTAGTAAATATAATATCTAATAAATCTCAAATCCTTATTATAGAAAGGGAGTTTGTTTGATAATTAGTCCGAGCATTTTAAAATAGTCAGTTATTTGTTAATCTTACCTATGCACATCCGTGGACCGTGACTAAAGGGAATGACAATGAATGGGTGGTGCATTTTAAAATGATCACTTCCCCGTATCCAACGCTCTGGCTGAAATTCTGTCGGGTTATCAAAGAACTTTGAAGACATTTGTTGCACGAAAGAACACATTTCTATCGTCGTCTGTGGAAAAGAAACGTTTCACAACAGAAATGAAATCATTTATACCATCATTACTTACACATCGGTAGGAGTATATATCATCATAACGAACATTCAGTTATTGTATCATCTTACATAGTGCTCCTCCTTATGTATCGATATCTGTGATGAATCAGTCAGATATATTCAGCAGACTGAAAATCATTTCAATAGACAAAAAAGCTCGATGGAGTGTTAGTGGTCATTAATTATCTATAAACAAGCGATAAGAAGTGGTGAACCCACCGCTGACATGTCATACATGACAATCATGTCCTGGTCATGACTTTAGCATGAATCAAGGACAACTCCTTCATGCGATTATATCATTATCTAAACGTCAAACTAGGTCGGTCTCCTAACAACGCATTATAATTTTACTTTCAACTTTTTAAGTTTACAAACAGGAATATATCGCGTCATCGAAACGCTTTTAACTGTAACAATGCTGCTTAATTTAAGGTGATGTATCCCGTAGGAATAAATGATATCTGAGTAATGTATTTCATATAGACGTGTAGCAATTACGTATCACGGTAAGATACGTAGAAAATTTTAATTTGACAAGTTGATGATTTAATCTTTAACTATTTGACCACGACCGTCCTTGGAGGATTATTTTCCTGTATCATTAAACTGTTTTGAGAAATGTACGAGTCGAATACCTCATCAAACTATTGACTACGGATGTATATCCGCTTTAAAATAATGTTCCATGATTTGTTATAAGTGGAATCATCATTAATGAACAAAAATTATTTGGAATATTTCTGGTGCGTTTTCTGTAAAAACCGTGATACTGCATATGGTAAACATACGTGCTGTGTCCTGGATAGACCAATGTTACTCAGACAGAAAAAAAAACTTACACCTGCTGGGACCTGGTATCCTCCAAGAACAATGTCGTGATTTATTACCCGCTTTGTGTCCAAGTTTAACGGGAAAAATCTATCGACAAAACAAATAAATAGTATTAATAATACAGAGGTGTAGTATGACTGCAATCATCTCACCTGTGTAGCCAATATTTGTTGACGATTTGCACTATGTGTACACATCACTCAACAGAAAAGATTGATAACTGGAAGAAGTTCACTTTAATTGACCGCTTTAACCTTTACTATCACTATGTCCGACTCTTGATCGACATATGTCTGTTGCCTTTTGGTTCATGATCGACCTGTTTTCGACGTAGCATTTGTCTTGTTTCCTAAAGTGATTTACCACAATACATCAGGATTATCATTGTCAATTAATATATGATTTTATTTAATAATCTCATCTCTTATATGCTGATTAGAATGCATGATCGATATAAGCTATTAGCCATATTACCTATATGATTCCTTGAAGCATGCTTTCAAGTACGTCAGTTTTTTCAAGCAGTCATAGGTAACATATTTGTCTGGCACATTTCGTTGCAGCTCTCTGAATGCCTTTTCCTGAATCTGAGGATTCTTTGCTAAGCAATAAAGTGCTAACAGAAACGTGGGCACAGTCTGCAAGTAAATAATATATTTCTATGGATATCGTACTCATATAACAAATAAATAAAATCACTTCCTTTAATAAAATATCATGTATGTGATAATTATCAGCATTTAAATGTGGCAAATAGTGGAGGGAATGTTTAAATAGATTGAGTACTGCAATTCGACTACGGTTATATATGTTGGCTCTCGTTACAGATTACGTACCGCATTCAGCCCGTCAGCAAATAAGGTAAGTGCCGTGATGCTAAGATCCTCGAAGCTAAGGTTTGTATTAAACAAAAGATATGAAATGAACAGAAACTGCCCTTCTTTCAGGTCTTTATTGGCTGCTAATGTCTTGATACGTGACACAGCTGTGTTCACAAGGTTCTGACCATTGCTTTTAAAGAGAGAAACAATAAGTATATTACAAATAGAAATATCTGTCAAAATGTGTCAATATAATTCTGGTGTAGATCATCTTCAAAATTAATGAATTTGCTGAATATATAATAAAATATATATCGCGATTCGCAAAACTACCAAACCGAAAGATGAAAAATATTATATGACATTTGTAAGACAAACAGGAGATTGTTTTCAATTAAAATGCAATTTCAATATCTTAATGTCAATGATGTATTTTAGATATATTTTTATTGCAACTCTCTGTTTTAAAGCAACAAAATGCAAGTTTGTGATCCTAACTAACATTATTGAAATATAGGCTATCTACGTAAATCATAAATTGATAAATTTGATAATTGTAAATCATATTTTGGATGATTTCATTTGATGGAGAATTCAAATGTGTTCTAGATAGTTCACATTAAATTAGAGTGACGATTTACCTATAAAAGTAGTCCTCCGCTTCATAGTGCCGATCAGAAAGTCTCTGATTGGCTTTGAATTTCCAAGGGAGAGTGAACATCATCTTTGTCGATAAATCAAATATGTCGTAGTTTGCCTGTATCATTCTCTGCGAATGAGAATCAGTACCTTCGTCCAGTGCCCCAAGTCTCTGATCAAAGCAGATCCTAGCAGCAGCTAATGGAAATAAACAGCAAAAGACCTTTAATTAGTCACTGTTTGTGAATATACACCTAAATCAGACTTTGTGTGTCTCCAGTACCTGCTCATTGGACATATTTTTAAATAAAGGTAAATAATTATGTAGCTGAGAAGTGTCATCTACTGTAAATGGTACATTATACATCCTCTTAATATGACCAAATTATAGACCAACTTTCATTACCTCACCGCATATGACAACAATGTAATGCTCTGTAAATGAAAGTTTTAACAAAGGGCCGTAACACTGTAAATGAGAGGTTACGGGCCCTGAATGTGGTTTAATGGACATGATCTTAGTAAGATCGATGTATACACTGATTTTCGTTATCCTACAATGCAGTTCAAATGCAAGCAAACATGAGCTCCGGACGCGAAAATTACATAACTATGTAACAAAGGAGGCTAGGGCCCTGAATTTGAAACATTACACATCGCTCAAAATTACCATTGATTACACCAAGTTTCATTATCTTTTGTTAGCTGTGGGCAAAGTTATACTCCAGACACGAAAGGACCGACTTGATGATGTCCATGGCACAGGGAAGCAAATAAGCACCCGTGAAAGTAAAACTCCACTGGACAACTTGAGTTTACGTTGCTTTTATGTAGAATGATTTAGCTCAGTATGAGACAGCTGTTGTTCTGATCAATGACCTTGGGTAATGATTTAGCTCAGTATGAGACAGCTGTTGTCTGGTTAATGACCTTGGGTAAGGATTTAGCTCAGTATGAGACAGCTGTTGTTCTTGTTAATGACCTTGGGTAAGGATTTAGCTCAGTATGAGACAGCTGTTGTTCTGATCAATGACCTTGGGTAATGATTTAGCTCAGTATGAGACAGCTGTTGTCTGGTTAATGACCTTGGGTAAGGATTTAGCTCAGTATGAGACAGCTGTTGTTCTTGTTAATGACCTTGGGTAAGGATTTAGCTCAGTATGAGACAGCTGTTGTTCTGGTTAATGACCTTAGGTAATGATTTAGCTCAGTATGAGACAGCTGTTGTTCTGGTTAATGACCTTGGGTAATGATAAATATCTCAAATGGTATGTGTGTTGACTGAACTGGCAAGCAATATGGTGTTGTAGCTTGTTATCTGTAAAATCGTACATAGTATTACCTCCAGGATGAACAGGAAACCAAAGGATACATAACTCGGGTGGAAAATAGCTGCCTTGATCCTGTTTCATATACTATCGTGTGTAAACAGTAAGAAATCCTACGAAGATGGAACTAATTTATAGATGTTGAATTGATCATGCCAGACCGTATTTTGTTGGTTTTTTTAATCATGAATGCGAATTGCAAATCAGGCTGAAATATGAGTATGTTGCGTAACAGAAGTGACGTGTCGGAACAGGACGAATTCGAATGAAAGAGCAAATGTTCCTTCTAATAACATACTCTGTGGTGAAATATGAACGAGATATGATGTACAGGGCGTTAGCTGAAACGGCTAGATAGCATTACAAATGGCAAGCAGGAAGTGACGTGCACGTTAGTCGCAGGAACAATGAACGACGTGTTCTTGAACATAAAATAAGGTCACATTGGGATATGTTAATAGTTCCAACTTTTAAAACGCATACACTAAAATACAAACGGAAAGAGTTAAATAGGTTAATTTTGTTTTACTCAATAGTTATTCTTACAATACAATAAGACTTTTCTCACTTTCTAGGTTCCACCTTGCCATGAGGTTATTGAAATGTGGAATACTCCCCGTGTTGTCCACCATGTTGTCTATTTTGTCAATGACGTCATCAGCTACTTCATTTACATATGGAAGAAATTCAGCTACATCTTGGAGTCGCATCATCACTGGCTGAATAGCTTTCCTCAATGTACTCCAAACTTCGCCATTTCTGTAGGGTGTAAGGAATTCAGTTCAATACTGATAGTTTAGTTAATGTCATTTCTAAAATTTGAAAAAGTGTATTGGATTTTAAAATGATCATACATAGCAAATAAATACATCAAGTAAAGTCGTCATTTATTGAAGACAGTAAATAAATCTGTGGATCTTTGTATCTTGATTCCACGATCTCTGTGTTAGTGAGGATTGTTGATTTGTAAACTAGTTCTATAACGCTATCACCTTAGAACATATATATCTGTATGTATACATAAATACAGATGATGATAAACGACTACTTTGGACACGGAAAAGGTGGACACGGTTGTCGATGAAGACGATCTGATAATATTTTTTGGGACTGAAATATTTGACGATGCTTATTCAATACATTTCTGCTACTTCGTTTGGATTTGGTTTAATGTACATATTGTGACTTTTGTGTTTTTTGAGTTTGCATTTTGTTTCAATGGCGTAACGTTTGATATATGAGCCACATTTTTTACCATTTTAAACGACGTCATATTATTTATCATGATATCGTATCTTCTTTTTATCTAAGTCGATATCATTGCTTAGATGAAACAAGGATTTCTTTTTACGGAAGAAACGGATTGCAACCTACAAGTTTATCTAATTCTGTACGATGTGACAAGCCGCCGGCCATATGTTGTTTTGATCTTTAAATAAATCATTTGATCACATTTCAAAATGAATGTAACATGTATTCGTACATTGTTATAATCAGATCATTTCATCAGTATACTGTGCTGTTTGAGTTTTTTCTCTAGTGTAACACATGTATAATTTTATATTAACCTGATATTCGTTATAAAGTTTCTGTTAACATACTAACATGTTGCCAAGTCCAGGCGACATATTTCTGGATTCCCGATACTTCTTCGAACTCTCCAGGATAGGGACAATGTGTGGCCACACTCCTTCGTGTTTGTAGACTGTTTGAATGTCGTCTGGGTCGAACAATCGGACCGCCGTACTTTTGCCGATAGTTTCCTTCATAATAGAACCGTACTGTTTCCATCTTGATTCGAGCACGGCCTGGTAATGTGCTACGTCATGCTGTCGAAAAGGACCTACCAAATGTTAAAGACATACGTTATCTTAATAACTTCATAGTGGGAGTGATAGATTTGTTAGGCTGTTTAACAGAAACGCTTGTTGTTATTGTAGTTATTCTTCACAAAAACCTTATGACAATGTTGAACCAGTCATCATGTATACAGCCATAGGGTCTGTATATTGAATTCAAAATATATCAAGTAATTTACTTTTTTTAAGTCAATCAAATAAATAAAAATAATGATTTGTTTTCAAACTGAAATGTCCAGGAGTACTGCACGAAAAGTAGCCATGTCACTGAGCAGCTAGACCTTCTATCATCTTCCGAATACCAAAACAAGCCTTAGCAACCTTGTTGCATTCCTGCATTGTGTTAGACGCAATTGTCTAAGGTTTGCTAATAATCCCATCAGGAATGGAACCACTATACTGCTGATAAGGATAAGGAAAGTGAGACTACGAACGAGACCAAATGCCCGGTTTCGACCAATCAGATGCCAGAAAATGGTGCCCCTTTTGGTGACAAATAAAACTCAGGCTGCAATAGTGACCGATGTCCAATATTCTTTCCACATACCAATTTCCAAGGACAATATTCAAGTTTCGACCAGTCAGAAGCCCGAGTTGAGCGGCCATTTTGCAAAGTTTCATTAAGACTATTTATGTAGAACTATTTTTGTCGATATAATTCCATGCCATCAGAGCACGCGGAAATCAGATCCGAGAAAATGTACTGCACAACTAGACATAAAACTGATCATGTTTGCAAAGTTTAGTGATAACCCACTGAGTACAATAAATTGTAGTGTCCAAGAATAGCCACGAATACGGCGGCAGAATCATAAAAATAGCCACCATAACCCGTCCAAAACACCACATATCCTCCTTAACTTGTTTGTAGTGTCAAAAAACAACTAAATACTAAATGTCGTGGAAACGGACAATATTTGGATTTCGACAAATTAGAGGCCATAGAGTGGGGACTATTTTGTTGTAATGTGAAACAGGCTATGAACGTGACCGGTGTTCCATGAATACTCTACAAACAAAATTTCATTGACACTGGATTATAATAAGATTTCCACCAATCAGAGACAGAAAACGGAATGATATTTATAAAGATAATTAAAACTAGAATTGCAATTCTGAGCAGTAGCGGAAGTCACTCAAACTCCATAAACCCGCTCCGAACACTACCTGATCCTCTCAGGTGTTTATGATGTCAAGATACACGTAAATACAAAATATGATAGGCATAGGACAATATCTAGATTTCGACCGACCAGGTGAAATAGGCAGGCGACCATTTTGTTGAAGTGTGATTTTGAGGCTACAAAAGTAAACAGACCCATGGTATCCGTACTAAACTTCATGGAAATCTGAAATTTAAATTTAAATCTATCAAAGAAAAACATAAAAGAAAACGCATGACAACATAGTCATAATCCAATTCTAATTCCAGAAAACTTTTAAAAAAAATATGAACAAACAAAACAAAGATAACCATTGAGCATTGAGCATTGAGACTCCTGAAAAAGGAGAATAGGACTAGTTGTTCCGGAATAGTAAGTGTCTCTTGCTTTACCGACACCCGCCATGTACAATGTCACGTTCTCAGAAGAGATAAAGGTATTTACAACTGACCCAACAGGCAAACTAACGAACAGCAAACATGTCCAGCATCATATCATACAGATAATTCGAATATTTCCGAATGAGATCACAATGGAGACCATAAAACGTTTTCATTAAACTGCATAATTTGATATTCTTGTTTACAAATTTGTCGTCAGTTGCCGAATTCCTGCTCGAAAATCATGATAATGGGAACAGGCCCTTGAGTATCGAATCAGCTGTGGCATGTGAATACCATAGTTTGGAGATATTGCTTTCCAGAAATGGAAAAATTCACAATAGAGAAATTGAATCATCACGTTTATCATACTGCATGGTAGAAAGTTGTCTATGTTGGTTTCGGTGAAGGACAAAATGGAGAAGAGAAATGGTCAACTTTCTTGTTATTCTAAGACAAAACGCCATCAATGCAAGGTTAGGGTTACCCATCCTTTTAAATATTCTAAAAATCAAATGACCTTGCAAAGTCTTTTTGACCTGTTTTGATAAGCTCTTCAATAAATTCGGCCTCGAATAAAACCAAAACCAAGTCAGCCAAAAGACCAGACAGTTTCCATATGTGTGACAAATTCTGTTGGAAGGTCTTACCACCACACTCGACGAAGATGTTGTCAACCAGAAACTCGATGATTTTGATGATATTGATCTTCCTATAGTTGTGGTAACGCACAACGCACAAAAAAAACTTCGATCTGCGCACATCGTGCATACATTGTGTGCACACAAGCAGGACACAGTATCGTGTGCACAACAGGATCTCACATTTTGTGCGGTTTGGAGAGAAAATAGTTGGCTAATATTACGAATTGAAAATAAAGCGGAAAATTCCTGAAGATAAATAGCGATCACATGAACATTAAATTTGATCGGCGATTATAAAAATAATTTTTGATTAGACAGTTTTTGAAATAACACTTTACCTGCATTAATTAGTCTTATCGTATATGGTTTTACACCTCATAAAGAGACGAGTAGTGGTTCCTCTGGCCACAAAAGTTTATCTTTATACGGGTATATATGTGATAGGTTCGGATCCGTACCGGTTGGGTCGCCCATGTAAAAACACAACACTTGAGATTTACCTGAGCACTTATGTATATACATTTATTGTTTTCAAAATGAATGAAAAATCAGAGTAATACATAAATAAAGAAAATTTCCTTTGTGACGGTAGGGAATTTTAAATGATGAATTACTGTGGTATAAAGGGAAGCCCATTAAATGTTTACATATATGATATATGTATAATGTGTTTTTGTACTCTAAGGCTGGTCACGTGTGGCTCTTTGTAAACAAATCACTTAAAAAATACGAGTGTATGTAATTATTCAGTGTGTAATTGATATATCTACAAGTGTCCAACCTATATATAAACGGGATAATTAGGAAATATACTTAGGTGTATTCTTCTATATTTAGAAAATAAATAAACAATATCCCACACTTATATATAAGTCATTTTATGATTTATATATTTACCACGATAGAATCGCACATTTGTGCGATAGAACCGAACAACGTGCGCACAAATGTGCGCTAACTTATTTCGTTCAATTTTCCTATGATGCATACATCGTACAGATGTCGTGCGTACATCGTGTAGATATCGTGCGCACATCGTGTAACGGTGTACGATCCCACAACTGTACGTTTCTCCTTTGATTTGGACACATTTTGTATGAAATACGCTGAAGTATAGTTCACAAGTATATACACAAGCGGGAAAATGAAACACAAGTTTATTTTCGATAGATATTATTTTACACGATTCATTGATGATAAGTTCATTGTTTGGGTTTCTCGATTATTCCATCATTACTGAAGGCATTTTGATGGTTTTTGTTGTCCTATCACAGACGGCGTTTGCACGAATAGTGTTAAAACAAGGGTATCCTATGCTGTTATTTGAGGGATATTATTCCACTCCCGAATAAGGGACAGCACAAACTGAGCGACGTTATATGGAAGTTGACGCGCTTCCTAACACTCCTGTCCAGCGCGTCACACAAATGTTCAAATGAGGATTAATCTCGATTATGTGGTGGCTAATCAAGGACTGGGATGCTGTTTCGAGACAGAAAGTCACGACATACCCCAGCAACACGGGGCCTCGCGTTGTCCTGCTGCAACGTAAAGTTATGTCGATGGTTAAGAGGAAAGGCCTGTAATAATGTTTGGGCCATGTTACTGCTTTAAGATAGCGATGGATAACATCAAGAGGTGTTCTAATGCCTTGCGATATCCCTGCCCATACTTAAACCGACCCATCCCAATCCCACCAACAAATCTGCCGAATATCTCTCTAGGCGACGTCGATAGACACGTTGTCGTCCATCTGACCTATAAATTGTAAAGCGTCTTCAATAGGAGTATATTCATAACGCCGTTCACCTTTCTTGGAGAAGAAAGCTCTAATAACAAGAGAACGAAGACAGAGTGGTAAATTCAACCTTTAATGAATGAATTCAACATAAATCGGTAAGTTCATATCCTTAAAAGCGCATTCTTAATGACTGTAATACCAAAGCATGATTAGCTTATATTCCGTCTTTTGAAAAATTGCATAATGTTAAGGTGTAGATTCCTTCGTTATCAAGAAAGCCCAATTCTTTTGGTATACAGCAATTGTAATAATGTTTGGGCCATGTTCTTGGACGCCTTCTCTGCAGGCACAATGACATACTTGTCATGTAAATCTTAAGTAGATTTAACATCAAGATTGAGGAGAGTTGACATGTGTTTGCCATGTCAAGCTAAAATTATTTTACAAATAATGGACCGAATGGACTTTACCCAGTCAGAAAGTGAATCCAAAGCAGCATATTCTCGTTTCACCCATTCAATTGCATAGTTGTCAACAGAATAAGTATCTTCGAAGTATATTCAAATTAACTGACAGCTGGACTATTGTTATAAGAAGGAGTTAAACAAGACAAAAAACTGACGGAGGACTAGCATTTACATTTACATTCAGTTGTTGCAGCGCATGTTTGTAGTTAGAGAGTCTGGATGTAATCGGCTTGAAGTAACTGTAGGAAATTACAGGTGTGTTTTGCTTTAAATGTTAGATTGAACAGACATCTGGTGTAAAATATTGCTAATTTTTATAGCGTCCACTCCCTGATGTTCAAACTCAATATTAAATTGGCAGATTGTTGGAGAATCGTGAACAAGTTAAAAAACCTGATTTGTCCCACATCATCAATAATTTTGTAAAGTTTAGAAGCTTATTTCCACAGTTCACAAGCAGCAGTATTAGGAAGGAGAGAGGAAGTGAATATAACGTAGTTCAAGCGTGATGGACACCTACTGGTTTCTGTGCTGTATCCATTAGATTTTCAAACGTAACAGTATAAACGCTGTATTTATTGTTATGTCTAGGGTTACGATTACGTCTTGTTTGGAGGAGTGGAAAAAACCATAACGTTAGTGTTACTGCATCCAGGATAAATTTTCTACATAGTCCACGAGGTCATAAAATGTTCGTCTAAGGTAGAGTGTGCTCTATGTGGGGTCATTTGTACGATGGTGTATTTTGTCCCAAATACGGACACTCTTCGATTGTATAGCATGGTCTGGGAGGATGAAATGTTGATTAAACATTGATTCTCTCCGCGGTTCACTGCTGAACGATGACCATTTATATGTTGTCATAACTGTCATTTTGTTTCACCAAAATATATTAAACCACAAAGAGCACATTTCATACCATAAACAACATTGGTAGTTTTTACAATTTAGGGGTTCAAAGCTTCGGATAGAATTAACTTTACTTGCCAGAGAACTATTTATTGACAGTTTTGAAAAGCTGAAAAACTCCACAGTATCTCATTGTGTAAGTATATCCGTTAGTTTAATTTTGCATTGTGGAAATGAGTTTAATTTTGTATGGTTGAAATGTTGCTGCGTAGTTTTTATAGTACAACAGGTAGTACAACTTTGTATAAAATTAATAACGTCCCCGAAGGCAATCCTAGATGAAGTTTGTATAGGTCTGTGCCATTGGGGCATATCAAGGGAGTCCTGTTGATACTGGGCGTCGAATCAATCATTAAGCTACTTGTTTTTCTCATATCCATGATGAAAAGCAACTGGGTTAGAAGTGCTCTCGGTGACACAACTACCCACCAGCGGAAACACTCGTTATGGTACAAAAACATCAAGAAAATACCAACATGTCAACTTGAGCATAAATCCAAACGTTAATTCCGTAAATCTAGGGCAAAATGTAAAACAAATAAAGATAGAGATTCCTGAAAAAGAACAAGGAAAATAAGACCAGGTGTTCCAGATGAGTAAACGTTTTCTTCTTCATCGCTGACACCCGCAATGTAAACCATACTCAATCCAAGTAATTAATGTCATGTTCACAAACAAGGAAAAGGTATGAAACGACAGACCTAACAGACGAACTATCGGGAATCAAATACGTCCAGCTTCATATCTCAAAAAGAAATAGAATATTTAACAATGTGATCACTATTACGACAATAGAACTTATCCATAATTGCCATGAATCGGCATATTTTGAAACCTTGTGTTTACGAGTTTTTTCCGTCAATTGACGACTTCTTTCACGAAATCGTGATAATGGGAACATGCCCTCAAATGTCGAATCAGTGGTGACATGAAAATACCATAGGCTTGGGATAAAGGTTTATTACTATCCAGTGATGGAAAATACACAATAGGGAAATTGAAATCATCACATTTGTCATACAGCTTGGTGAAAAGCTGTCCCTGTTGGTTTCGTTGTAGGAAAAGATCGAGAAGAGTCTGTCGTGTCCTAACCCTAACCCAATTCTGGTTTGCATATACGATAGACGTGGTCAATGCGGCCATTTTGGATGAGAATTTAATTCGATTACGAGATAATCTTAGAAACCACTCGCATGATTCTCATGGTGCTTCGAAACCATGGTAAATATAACGTCTAGTAGAGCAATGTACTTTGTTTCGTACGGAGTGACGTAATGTTACGTAACAATAGAAAAAATAGCAACAAGACCCCGAACTAAAACAATCAGAGCCCAGGGATTGGAGAACATTTCGTGGAAATATGAACGTGAGGTTATGAAAGTTACCGGTGTCAAATAATCACGCTACATATCTTATTTTGACTAGGTCACTTCCTTTTCAGAGAAACATGCGCTGTCACGCTATTGTCCCTTCCATCAAATTACATTATGTCTAATCACACTGAACAGCTATTAGAACACATGGCAGCCATCTTGGTAGTCAGACCCCAGAAAATGGAAGGTGCACAACTAATGATCTTGTATGTAGTGGCGGATGAGAATCTATTGGGCAGTTTCACAGGAAGGTATGGCTTAATAAGTAGGAAACGAAACATTACCAATAAGTCCCTCTAACATCGTTAGTGTGGTTTAATAACAATGAGAGAGAAACGAAACATTACCAATAAGTCCCTCTAACATCGTTAGTGTGGCTTAATAACAATGAGAGAGAAACGAAACATTACCAATAAGTCCCTCTGACATCGTTAGTGTGGCTTAATAACAATGAGAGAGAAACTAAACATTACCAATAAGTCCCTCTGACATCGTTAGTGTGGCTTAATAACAATGAGAGAGAAACGAAACATTACCAATAATTCCCTCTGACATCGTTAGTGTGGCTTAATAACAATGAGAGAGAAACGAAACATTACCAATAAGTCCCTCTAACATCGTTAGTGTGGCTTAATAACAATGAGAGAGGAACGAAACAATAACTATATATATATAAGTCCTCCTAACGTCGTTTGTGTAGCTTAATAACAATAAGTGAGAAAAGAAACAATAGCAATGAGTCCCCCGACTTCGTTGGTGTGATTTGATTTTCAAAATTCCTCATTTCGCTTTGAAATTTCCAATTCAGCACCGACATCATGAGCTATTCATATTTTTTCTCTATTGAAAACAATATTAAATTTATATCGATTTTTGTTACTTCTATATAGAACCACGTGGATCTTGAATGCGGTCATTACATCATATCCGTGTAATGTCAACCTCTTTGTGCAAACAAAAATGTATAACAAATTTTTCAACAGTTGCTTGATAATTACCTGTGTATTGCATCAGCGTTCCGATAACAGGCAATCCAGATGGTCCAGGTATCTCTTTAAAGGGTTTAGCTTTGACATACGCCTCTTCAACATCAGATCCCTCAAAATTACTCTGGTGTTTTGCACAGGCCGTGTGACAGAAACTGAAAATGCTCTTCGTACAATTATTTCTGGAAAACAATTGTTTCTTAAAACACAACATATCAAATTGTTCGTAAGTTACATCGAAGTGATAGGTAGCACTTTTAAATAGTGAAGTGAATTACTGTGATATTGTTGTAGTAATAAGCACTCGTTTCGCTTCAGTTAATCAAAAGTATACAACGTATACCTGTAAAAGGTACAGGGAAGCGTTCTATGTAAAATATATACCCTCACGAGTGTGTAGTGAGATCAGGCTACAAATCCTCACCATCGTATCTCACACTTGGTTTAATTCTGCACGTCTTAAAACGCCTCCACGAAATATTGTCCTCATGCTAGTCTATGTTAAACTCTTCTGGATGTCTTTGACAAAATACCAATAGAATAAACGTTGGAATTTTGTTAAAATAAACCCCGCTATGTCGAAATACTTGGAAAAGTAATAATCAGAGGTTGGGCATAGACTAGCATGTGCTGATCACCCGTGAACGAGTACCTGTATGACGTAATAATATTCAAGACTAATTAGGTAATGGTAATTAATAGACAATCATTTGATAGGTAATGACGAAAATAGAGGGCCATGGAATTAATGTTTATTATCATGTAGTAATTGACATCAACGTCCATGATAATGGACAATTAGAAACAATGGAAAATAACCATGACAATGGTTCATTAAATTTACTTGGGAACGTCTCAACATATATCATCCAAATGACGTGGTCACTAATTTCTAAAATCATATATTTACAAAACCGTTAAATTCCATACGCCTCTTGTTTGCCTTCCCTTATATCTTATATCGTATTTGCCTTTCTTTATATGTTGCTACATATATCTAGTGTAGAACTTGATTGCGTGAGACCGTGCTATAATTATCAACTCAAAGGTAATCGGGTCCATGAAGTATTTCTCAACCAATTTTTTTTATTTTACAAATGATCAGGGTGAGAAACTCTAAACTAATGATCTGATGTTATGAATATAAAATTTAACCAAAACCAAGGAATTTTAACCTCAACCAATGACCTTTAAGCTCAACCAATAGCCTTTAATTCAAAGCAATAAACTTCAACCAACAGAAGTGTTTTTATTTCAAACGTAGCCAGGGAAGATCTTAGGCCTTTAAAATAACCGTTGATATTGTGCTATATGTTATGAATATGCTATGATTTACCTTGTATGATGTTGTGCTATATGTTATACATATGCTATGATTAACCATGTATGATGTGCTAACGTATTCAGGTTATGAATCTGTCATGGTTTGAGAGGTTTTTTCATATAAGTATACTTAATTCCTGGAGATTTGTATTTATTGTGCAACTGGTATAACATCATAGAAAATTAATGAAAATAACACTTTAGCAGATTTACAACAGTTGCGAACACAAGACTAGAAACCTCAAGAGGTTGTTTACTTGTAACACAACCTTCGATTCCTTGGTAAACTTTCATTTCCATGGAAGTCAGCAAACGATACAACGCAAATTACATAATTACCGAACGCATTGAAGATGAAGCTGTCACGTTAGACATTTCAATAGGATTTGTGTCATCATCAGTCATATATTCAGTCGCGTAGTAACTTTGTTACATGAATAATTCACATTTCTTGTGTGTCTAATAGTTTTTGTCTCATACACTCGTGCTGTTCGATCTTAAAAGATACTAAAATATAAGACACACTTATGAAACTTAAGCCACAGATTATTTGTGTTACTACATTATTAAATATCCTCTATATAACCTCAGTGAGATTAGTAATTTAAACAAATGATCAGTAACATTTAATATGATAACATTTGCACTGCACATTACGAAGATCAACCGACTACACCCAACTGTTGTCCAAAAACACGCTAAGAAACTAAATCTCACAAAATCATCAAATCTGCCTCTAATTTCAAGAGAGTATGTTTACTGCATTTAAACCGCTCAAACACTGCACAATTAATTAACGAAGTTCAATCAGTAAAACGTTTGGGGAATTCAGGATCTAACTTGTGCGTTCGGATAATCATGCATACACGTACATATGATGATGCTCCCAGCTTGTTAACGACTTTTATATTTAGAGAGAAACATACAATGCATATGAACATCGAGGTAGATGAAAAAACACACATTGGTTTTACAGTTTACATGCTCCAACTGATCATCAAGTATAGTGAATTTAGGTAAAAAAAAAACAAGTTTGGTGACAATATCACTTGTAACTACTGATTTCATATTAATAAAACATGAATGTTGACTTCTGCAGAAAAGTTTTTTGCCATGACTCATAAATATTAACGAATGAAGATGTACAATGTATTAAAAATCAACCGGCAGACTTCTTCATCTGCATCAATCCGACTACCACGTTTGCTGGAAGTCTCTTATTTCACTACAGGTCGACATTCCACGCATGTCATATTCTAAAGTTTGTAACTTGTAACCTTTAAAGTGATACTACATAAATGTGTCTCTATCCGTGAAATGGACACGGTAATATTATTGTTCTCAGTTTCTTTCGCTATTTTCATAAAAAAATTTTACTTCAGCAAAATAGAATATATCCTCAATCTTTCCACATGGACTAACCGCATGGTCTCATTCAAACAAGATATTTTGTGTTTATAATTCGATAGCCCCCAATTCAGTAACTGGCAATATGCCATATGCACATGCAAAATGTCTCCTGAGGATAACTGACACGTCATTTTAGATATAACTTCAGGCAGAAGGAAGCAAAAACGAAGGATTATTATAACCTACCGTATATTTAAGCAGTCATGCATATGATTAACTACAGGTGTTAGGTTTGTTTCTTCTGTGGATGAAAACAAAAAGGATGGACTTGTTTGAGGTTAACTGTTTTTATATGTACAGCAGCTTATCCGACTTACGCGCGCACACACAGACACACCCTCTTTCACACCCTCGTAACACACTACACATATACTCAAACACACACCCTAATAACACACACACTACGTGCATCTACAGGGTATATTGTGAATATACATATAAATCAGTAATTTCCTCCTGCATCGAATATAATTTCTCAACTGTAAATTATGTATTAAAATTCTTCTTGTACTCTGAAAATTCAATGTACACGTACATATCAAAATCTGGAATTGTAATGTAACTTATGGTACAATCGTAGCGTCAATCAAAGCACGTTGGTGATCTAGACATTTGTATCGAAAAAAAGAACTGTAATTCCAACTCACAAAATCCTTTCAGTCATGTTTTCCATGCTGCATTGTCGCTGAGATTCATATTTTGCATCAATCAGCCCTAGATATTCATGTAATTATCTTGTTTTTATTATGATTGTTGGCACATGTGTATATGTATAGAGCTGTGTGAGTACGTGTGTAGATACATGTAGCTCTGTAAAACTAGATAAAAAATACCAAAAATAAAAAATATATAATAAAGCAATTTTAATTCATTTATGAAATAAGTAATTACTGGAGGATATATCTCCCTTGGTTGGAATTTGGGACAACGATAACCTCATGATTTAAAGCTGGTAACTTAACTATACAAGTGCCCTTAAAGAATGCCTTGTTGGTCGGATGACTGTGTAATGGTTGAAAGCATATTGAAAAAATAACGCCTACTATAACTAAAATAAGTACTAAGATCGGTTTAAAGTTGTATTGTCAACTTCTCCACATAAACATAACAATCTGTACGGTCCTGATCTAAAAGTAGTATTTGTTGAAACCCCAACATCTCCTGTGTCTGAGATGAAGTGTGTTTCCCACCACCAGTTATTTGTTAGTAATATTATCTGAAGCAGTCGCCAGGTTTGAGAGATTTATGTTTTTATGTCATCCATACGCTAACTATTTGTCGTAAATTTTGTTCTCTACATAAAAGACTGATATATATGTGGTGGTGTATATCGAAATACAAGACAAGGGTATCACAGAAATAGGTTATTGTTGTCAACTTGTGTTTTAGATTTTATTTGTATGGCTCGCTTTAGACAAACACATAACACAACTGCTTAGCATAGGCACATAAACGTGACGTTTTTTTTTTAAATTGTTAATTCAAAATATACCAGGAATATTCATAACGGGTATCTATTTTTTGATGTCGACAATTTGGCTGTTCTTCATACTCCTACTAAGGTTCAACCATTTAAGTTCTAACCACCAATGGCAAGTTCTGGATGTGAGGCCCTACTGCTTAGTTCTGTTTGTTCTATCATCAGCTATCACTTCTACTCATTATCTTTTGAACATTTCTAATGGCCACGGGAAGTGCTTGTGAATCTGTTTTTTCAAGTTTACGAAGAAATTGTTTTACGGCTGTGAACTTTGGATATGTCCGTAAAATCAGCGTGCTCACTGTGATCACTGCGGGTCATGTCACGATATGTCTTTTCAACATTTTGAAATGTGGGGGAAAATGCTAATCCATCAATATTCTAATCACGAAAATTAATACAGTAGTTTTCCGACAAAATAGTTTATACTCCTTAACTATTGAGTTACTGACGTTCTTTATGAGATAAAATTTGCTCTGCGTGGTTTAGTCTATGTTGGCGAAACAATCGGACAGGTAATGCACTGCTGTTATAACAAACGAACTAAAAAATGTTACTGTTTTTATAACAAGTCCGTGATATTAAAAGTGTTAAGTTACGATGAAGGGAATATAAATTGCGGAATATAAATTGCAATATGAGTGTTGAAATCTGAGCTAGATAATTAGTGAAACGAGAACATGTTATATTAGATACACTAACAAAGTAAGTTCAATCCGCCAGGTCTATCATTCGTTAAATAGTCAGCAGTTTAAATCTTAAAGAAAAAAATACATCAGTGTACCTCTATGTCGATGTTCAATTCACTCATCAAGACGTACATGACAAGTATTTTATTTTGTCTGCAGATCAGACCTCCAGTAATTTGATCCTTGTCTGCAGCTATTATTACATTTCTCGGTATACAGAAGACTTTTTCATTACGAAAAACCTCCCATCTATACATTATGCAATCTTGCTTAAGTAGAAATATTGGTTAATCATGCTCCAGTGTCACAAACATTCATACGGTCTATTAATGATAAGGCCATCCCTCGTTTATAATGAATTCTTAAACTTCATAAAATCCATATTGCTGGCCGATGCTGATGAATCAAACAGCATAATGATATTGACTACATGCCATTCGTAGATATACCATGGATACCGATCACTTATTCAAAGCATGTATACATACAAACTCAGATCTTCTGTATTCGTTTTGCAAAGCAAACGATAATAACACAAAGATACATAAAAAAATATAGATTAGAAATAATGAAAAAACTCACCATGTA